AAACAGGTTAACAAAAGTAGAATTAGCATAACAGAGACATTAAGTGATGAAAATCATGACGAATATGATAACAATCATGTAACTAATAGCATGCTATCTAAAGATAGAAATGAAAGTGATAGTGCTACAACTCAAATAACTTATGATATGCCATCTGAAGATAGTTATGAACGTAATAATGATATAACTCATAGTATGCCATCTGGAATAAATCAATTATCAAAACCAAATCTTAAAGATCTTCAACTTGTACCTATTAACAAGGCACCTGGAAAAAGTTGGATTTGGAGTTATTATCAGCTTTATAAACCTGTAGAGCCATATAAATGAATAGTCAGGTGTTTGGTTCAAGTAAATGAAGTAAATAGGTCTAAGCCATGTGGCCATTTAATGGGATCAGTGGACAGTTCGACAGGCAATTTTATTGGATATTTAGTATTACGACATGCAATTACAGAAGCATTGCACAAGCAAAAACTACAACAAGATCCCAAACAACAAAATATTGATCAAGTATTCCAAAAAATCATAACAAATGATCCCAAACAAAAAACAATTCGAGATCAAAAGTTTGTTAGTATGTTGGTTAAGGATCAATTGCCTATAAATATACAAGAAGGAACTGGCTTTAATGAATTTTTAGCAGAGTTTGATCCTAATTACCAGTTGCCTAGTGAAAGACTCTGTCAAAGATTACTCACAGATGCTTTTTTAAGTTCTAAAAAGAACCTTAAAAAAATACTTAATATAAATGCTATATCTTGTTCTTTAACTTGTGATCTGTGGACGGAACGTAACCGTATGGGGTATTTTGAAGTCATGTACTCATTCATTTATAACAATTTTTAACTAATTAAAATGGTCCTTACAATTAAATATCTATCTTACCCATATACTGGGGAGTTAATCGCAGAAGCACTGAATTCTATAATTGATAAATGGAAGCTAAAAGATAAAGTTTTTACTATCACGACTAATAATGGAAGCAACATGGTTAAGGCTTTAAAATGTATGCCGGATATCATTCGAATTTCATGCACTGCCCACACCCTTCAGCTTGCTATTGGAAAGGGATTGTTGGATGCTGAACTTCTCATAGCACGTGCAAAAAGGCTTATGTTG